AGATGCACTAAAGACCTGAACACACTACGCTGCCTGACAAGCTCCAACTGGGGGGCCTCCAAGGAGACCCTACTATCTCTTTACAAATCACTAATTAGATCAAAAATAGACTATGGATGCCAAATATACAACACCTTAAACTCCTCATTAAGCGCTAAACTAAACTCAATTCAATATTGAGCACTAACAATAATTACACGCACTCAGCAAGCCACGCCGCGCATATCGCTGGAAGGCACTTACAGGCGAAATACCCCTGGATCTACGCCGAGAACATCTAACAATATATTACTGGGCTTCAAACCAACAAAACCATCAAATCCAACAAATACTTAAAAGCAACATAAGCCCCATACTCCAACCTCTAGCTTGCAAAACCCCTCAATTAACACCAATCTCTCATCGCATAATAAATGGGGCTCAAAAAGCACAGGATTCGGCATCCATATCGACAAACCCAAAAAATAAACAAAATCCTATAGGCTCCTAAATAATCAATCAGTTTTCACAGCCAAATTAACAGGGATAATAACAGCTCTCCAAAGCGATCAAATAAATAGACACTGAAAAACCCTAATCCTTTCAGACTCATTAAGTGGGCTCAAGGTCATAATAATAAAAACACAAAAAAACTCCCATAACTAATATAACAGATGATTAAAAGTGCCAACAATCTACGTAAACTAGGTAAAGACACAGAAATAGTTTGGATCCCTGCCAACATTGGATTCTTTGGCAATGAACACACAGACAAAGCAGCCAAATCAGCACTAAAATTAGAAGTAAGCCTCAACCTAACAATATCCAACAATTAAAAGTATCAAAAAGGAGAAAATCTTTCAAAAGTGGCAAAATAACCAAAAGAAATCTGACTGCAAACTAAAACACCTGCTACAAAAGCCACTCAAACAAACAAAATTCCATCATAAAACCAAAAACATGGACAGAGTAATAACTAAACTACAAACAGGCCACACTAAGTTTTAGACTCCCACCTACATCAAATTAAAAAACACCAAACTGGTAAACGCCCCCACTGCAACTAAAAAGAAACTCCTGACCACGTAATATTATATTGCACACATTACCAGCAACACAGAACAACACACCAATCCAAACAAAACTGCAACAATCAAATGACACTAGCAATGCTACTAAACCCCCTAAAAGACTTACAAACTGTTAAAGCACTTAGCATCTATCTAATCAAAACAGGCCTACTCGGCCGCATCTAAAAAAGTACAACAAACAAGCTGTCCATAAATCCTAAAATTCTAAACCTATAAAAAACACACAAAATCACAAAACTCCATTTAGTCCCCACCCTTTTTGCATGGCATATTTCAATATTCCAAATTTGTTCTCCAAATGCAGTAAGCAACCCTAAAAAAGCTCCCCTAGGTTACCTCACCTTTTCGGACATACCCTTTTCGACCAATCACTAAATGGCCTGGCGGGCCCGTGCCTGAAATACGCATATGTCGGAAAGTGCACATTAAATTCCCAATTTTAGTAAGTAAGTATGTAAGGCTAGGGGTCAGCAGTCATACTAATTTGGAGATGTATTAATTTCAAGATCTACAATGTGCTAAACATGCTAAAAGACAACTGTTGAAAATGAAGTTAGTTTGTGATGACATTTGCTCTTTTTGTTACAAATTGTGGATTTGTATCTGAGAGTTTACATAATGTATATTCATGATATTTTGAAAATAGACATAATTTGAAGAAATTGGAAATATTATCTTACCATATCCCAAGCAGTTTACTTTAAAATCCCATCATTCATATGGCCAACTAATAGGACAGACAGACATATAGTTTATAAAAGTGTGACAAGTTAAATTTCATAGCACAGTAAAACATGTTTAACATCGCGCCATATTTTGGCTGATGAGATACTACTTATTGAAGACATTTTGCACGGTAAAATACTATTCACAATGATATTATCGTCATAAAATTATGTAGAACAATAAACAATGCAAGTATCACATGAATAATTGTTGTCTTAAAAACATGTTTCTTATTATAGAAGCAATACATTTGAAATAATTTCATGCGCTTAGGGTTATTTTCATACAACAGTTTAATAAAAAAATGTGGGTTAGGCATTGTAGAATTGTAACAAGATAAATTAATGCTGTATCTTAGGTCTTTCTAAAAATTACACTCCGAAAGGAAATGAACTTCTTTTCCCTCTTTTTTTACACAAATAACAAGTTCTGAGCTCCCAGGGATGGGGGTTGCATTGTGCCGACCTGTCTCCACGTGTAGAGTGAGGCTTCCACACATAGTCTGGGGAGATATTTTCTGAGATTCATGGACATATATAATGGTTTGCAAGTAAAGTTCAGGGACAAGATGTCTTTTTAAACATATGGTAGCTGAGTAGAATATTTCCATGTGGAGGATTTGATGTATCATTCCAGAGGTGTTCAAACCAAGTACGTCCAATTATTATCTTGAGTGTTTTATTTTAAGAGATGTCACATACTGAGTTGAGCCTGGCATAGATATAAAGTCATGGATATCCAGATGCTTGCATATTTTAATGACAGTGTGAAAAATAGATTTTTTTCTTCTTTTGCTATATTCTAAAACTCTGTGTGGCAGTCTATCATGTTCCCTTCTTTTGACTATTTGACAGTGATTCACATAAAGACTTTTTTCTGCCAGATTTGAACAGTAACTTCAGGTTATAACATGAGCATTACCCTATTTCATGATGAGGCACAAAGTGAAGCAGATGGTAGATGTTCATAAAGCATGGGGGTACATAGACTTTTTTATAACAATGATGAAACCTTAATAAAATATTGAAAGGAGTTTGGGTATGATGCCAGAGTTATGCAATGGTTGTAGTAATGGCCTTTAGGGGCATAGTTGATAGGCATTCAAACAGTTAACAGAATGACAATGATGTATTTATGTCGTAATGAAATTACATTGAAGACATAATGTGCTGCCATACAAATGTTATGTACATCTAAAGTGTCATATATGACATATACTCTGTGAAGAATGAAGAATGCAATAACATCTGCTCAGAAATATTAATAGAATTGGTCATATTTGACTGTTAATTTATAACTGTCATATACAAGCCTGTTGTTTTATTATGGATTAACTGCTGCATTTAGGATTCATATTACTTATGGGAGTGTGATGGTGGTGAAACACCACTTCGGCAATACTTCAATTTCAAAGAAGTTTGAAATACTCTTATTTAACAATTATGAGTCAGGTGGCAGTCTTGTAGTTGGTGAATTTACAGTTAGCACTTCTCTGAAAGATATTACAAATCTTTCAATTCCCATCAGATTTGACCAACTATAGAGCCTGCCTCATTTACAACAGATAAAGACATATAATATTTGTGACCTGAGGCAGCGGAAGTGAGGTGAAAGGGGTTTAAGGTCGCATTCAAGATTATTGTACTTATATAGCAACATGTATGTGGCTGCTTGTACCAGTTCAGACATTGCATAGTGTAATGTGTATAGTGCGTGCCCACTGAGTTACCATGCTGCAGTGTAACATGATGGATACCCCATTCAGACACATCATATGGACTCTAAGACAACAAGTGCTCGTTTTATCCCTGTTATGCCAAATACCAACCACCCATCGAACTACCAACCTACACACATGGAAAAGACCATACCGGTAATAATAATAATTGGCTACCTGGATAATTTCCATGGGAATGGTACACCCAATAACAAAGCTTCACTGCTGTAATCCATTCATAAAACACACAATTTGTAATTAGATTCAATATGTTAAAAGCTAAGTGTGTATGTATTGTACCATATTCCAGAAATAAATGTCATGGCAGTGCTATACTATACACAAAACATCCAAGGCCTGCAAAGGTGGTGCTTGATACTATACATAAAGAAATAAAGCAAAGTTCATGCTGTCTGTCTTATAAGCTCAACTCAGTATAGTAACCTATTTCAATACTGATAACCTGTTTTCTGTTTACACACATTTGATGTTTTAATGCAGTCTTTCTTTGAAGTGTCCCATAATAAGTCACTTGAAGAAACTCTTTCAATTAAAACAAAATAGATAGGCCTATAACCAGTGTTTAATAATACATAACCTAGGATAAAAGTCTCAATATAATTATCATGTGGAACATTATAATATTAATCTGAAGTAATATTCAAAATATCAATCAATTAGAAGCTAAAGATTTTGTACTTATACACCTACTTATTTTCTAACATTCTAAGGTTTTAACATTACATTAGGCCATGATGAGATGTTTACTGGGTATAAAGATACATTACATTGCTCATATTATATTAACTGTCGGTACAAGATGCTATGTGATATCTGATTAAAACTTTCTAAATCACTTTGAAAACTTTACACAAATGGGAAGAAATCGGAACTGTGAAGCAGATCAAGTTAAAATCAACTATTCTTTGCAAAACGAGCAACAATTTGATTTCTAAAAAAATAATGAAGCCTATTTTAATGAAACAAAATTACATATGCCTCGCAATGTGGGAAAACAAAATATGCAGATATTGGAAGACAAGTGTTCAAAGAACATGGGCGGTAATATCGAAAACATTACGGTAGCTGGGTTCTGTCTATAAATGTCAGACAAACTTATCGCATGACTACTGTCTCAATACAATATATGACGTCAGCCACGCCTAACGTAAACACATAAACAACATGACCACTCAACTGACGATATATGCGCTGATTAATATCGGAAAATTTATGGCATGTCCTTTTATCATAGTGTCATAAGCAGTCTTAAAACACACGAACTGGCTGACTTTAATTAGCTTGCAATATAAGACGCGAATTGGACAGTTGCGCTGAGTTGTCTCCCTTGAAATGCGCAATAGTCGATAAAAATAACGCAAACACACTGTCTCGAAAAGTGTGTAAAATAGCGACGACCCTGCTTGGTCGTAAAGCAGCTTGTGACTTCCGGAATTGACTGGGCTCCTGTCTACCTGTACATCGCTTAACACACTACGAACCAGTTAAACAAGATGGCGGGAAGAAATTGACATGGCAAGATAATCAGCTGTGAGTCAGCGTACAGACTTGTCAAGGTATATGATACGGTACAGTTACCAGTCCGCCTGCTAGGGTGGTGTCTTCTAGCCTAATGAATACAGTGACTAATGCCATACTAGCGTCAACCTTGAAAAAAACAGTGTTGTACTGTCCGGTCTGGTGGACAGGTGCCTACATTGATATTATTATTGTAATGAGGCGCCTGGGAGTAGTGCACTTTACCGGGCGCACTTTTTCAGATCCAATAAGCGCTGTAGGGCCGGCTCTGCTAATTTATGCGTTAATTAGCCGACGCTCTACCACTGGACCAACGGGCGCTATCATATGTAACCAGTGCTCGTTTAACGGGTCATTAGAATCCCCATTAACATGCATGCGTAATTCAGTAAACAATTAATTGCGCATGCGTGTGACGTCACGGTCCGCTCTCCCATTCATCTTGAAACCACACCCGCAATTGTTTATGTCAACATGACCGACCAATGGGATTAACCGGACTAACACTTGAAAAGGTAAGAATGTATGGCTAACCCTTGCCCAAAGCAAGCTAACCCTAAGGACCGAAAAGGGGTGTTGGATCGTAAAGACGTGTAAGTTTCCCTTAGATCGAGAACGGGTGTTCGATCGTAAAGATGTGTAAGTTTCCCTAAGACCTAGAACGGGGGATTAATCGTAAAGATGTGTAAGTTTCCCTAAGACCGAAAACGGGTGTTGGATCGTGAGGCGAGAGTCACCAGAGCTTGAGGCACGGTAACGGTATAACGAAACAGCGGTGGCACTATTGCGCGGTAATTGAGCGGATGGTAGAGCTTTGCTGCGCCCGGTAAACTGCATTGTTGCCAGGCGCCCAGTGACAGTAGAACAACTATATCTGTGGTGAAGGTGAAGATGTGTTCTCCCCTCCCTGGGCAGTATTCTTTACCTACCTGTTCTGTAAGCTTCCTGGCCTTGTTTTAACTTCCATGTGGTAAATCAAAAACACAAGAATAAGTGAAGTTTATCAAAGTTTATTATGGAACAGATATAAGGGGCAAAACCCTCATGTACTTTACTAAAATCCTACATATTTATCCCCCTTCCCTGACTACATATAAATCATCAGTTAGGCATCATTCATTCTTAAACTTTTCAGTCTAACTTAAGTCCCGTGGAGCGGGTGAGGCAGTACCCGGACACATAACAAACATCGCAATACAACACAAACTTATCGTCAGATTTGAACGGAAAATTGCTGATACAAAGGAAGACAACTGCTGGTGGTTTCAAAATTGACCAACATAGTTCATCGATCGAACGTATACGGTAATACAATAAATATGAACGATTTTAAAAATGTGTGATGATAGTCACCCACAGTAAGCTGTTAATCATAATTTACACTGATAACGTAGAATTGGCACCAGCATTCTGATGGCGTTCAATACGTTCTTCAACAATTTGCCCCGGACAAAACGTGAAAACAATATAATCCGGCTTATGACCACAGCCTCTAGTTTGGGCATCATGAGTCACCCTCTCGGTGTAAAATAGGGTTATAGTGAAAATGTTGTTGTCCTAAAAAATGAGCTAAAAACCTCAGTAACTCTCTTGTTATACAACCGACATGGTGACAGCAATATTTCAGACTACTAGTCTATGTGATGGTGGTCGCACCTCTGCATCTACATATCTCTGTGTATACACTATCCCTGGCATCATTATTTTACATTGCGTTCCCGTCAAACCAGTTGTCGGGTTCAAGAGCAACCATCAAGTGAATGTAAGTGGTATCACATGAAAAATGTGAAAAAATACCTATCGATAGAAAGAAAATATACAAGTATTTATATTTACAATAACGAGTTGTGTTTCAGCTATATCCCGCACACAACATACATATTCTACAATATAATCATGTTAGGTTATTTATATCAATGTAAGATGCAAATTTATGATACATGTACTACAGTTATCTATATATGATAGATGCGTGTATACACCTGACATACATGTATGACCAACACTATAATGAGTCTATTTTGGCATGACCATACCCAATCTTTGAAATTGGTATAAGCTATTGGGTGGGTTGATCCCCTTCATCTCTCTGATATTCCATTGGCACTTTTTGTTTTATTTTATCACAGAATCTAGCTTGAGGAATAACATAAGATACAGGCGCTTTTCCTACGGGCATTCTGCGAGCGGTGACTGCTTCAATTGCCTTTTTTAGATTTCAAGGTTAAGCAAATGTTTACGTTCATGTTGGCTCACTTCCTAAATATTGTAAAATATATTAGTAGATCAAAATAAATAGAAAAGATTCTATAGATATTTTAAGAATCCGTACAATTAAAATGCAATAATAGATATTGACACACAGACTATTAAGAAAGTTTTTGAAGAAAATCTACTTTATTTTATGAATAGGTTGAATGTAGACATCTAAATATAATTACTTTATGATATAAATGCAAATAAAGATTCCATCTTATTTTATAAATCATGCATTAAGTTATATTAATTTATATATCGCTATGTACACTGTAATGGATCCTGTTTCGTTTACAGATTCGAGTTTTATATGTATTGTTGATTGGAGATTGCCGGACCAAGTTTTTGTACTTATCGTCACATGGCCAAAGTGAAGTTGGGTCGTATTGAGCTAGAATTTTGTCATTAATACAAATGTATTACATACACCAAAAATAATGTATTAAATGTTAAAATGTGAAGATATTTAATTGATTAAATTTTTAAAAAAAACATGACCGAGTACTCCCTTACCGCCTTTTTTTCTTCAAGGTAGTACCTGGACATCGCTTAAACAGTACTATTTATTGAATTTTCGAGTCATCTTCTTTCATGGAATGTCGTTACATGTACTTAAAGTCCTACCTTACACCAAAGTAAATTTAAGGTGAGTCGTTTAGAAAACACTAATTTAAGACTGAAAACAGCGTTGCTTAGCAATAATGTATTAAAACATAGTCATGGCAGTCATGTTTGAAAGGTTATCGTGGACGGTTTGTTTGAAGAGTTTTCTCTGGCAGACAAATATTTAAATGGCCTATGGGGAAAACGGATAATGCTTGTCTGTTAAGTGTGGGTATCAGCAGTTTACCTAATTAGCTATAAATAAATGTTTGGTGAGTGTCCAGCTACTACCCCTGTCTGGGTACTGCCTCCTGCTCTAATAAACAAACAATCCAATTCAATTCTTACTCTATTTCTCCCCCATCAATAGCTATCAATCTCATTGAACAATTATTCAGGAAAAACAAACTATTATGGAAGGTCTTGATTGAAGACACATAGCTGTCTAAACTTTAAAGGGGCTCTAATCTCTGGCTTCTTCTTGGCTGTCTAACACTGCCTGCTGGGGCTCACTAGTTGCTGTTGGAAGTTGCTGTGAGAAGAAGAAGAAGATGTTTATTTCTCATGAATAACCGTGGTGACATAAAGAAGTTGACAAGAGAGACATATATACAAAGAAATGAGACAATAGTTAGTGGAGCATACACAGTCCATATTTTACATACTGGGCTAGCCGTAAGAGGAGAGGTTTATAAGCATGATAAGAACAAGTCATAAGTGAAACAAATTTTTCAGTATTTGGATATTTACAATGATATAATGGGAGATATTTATTTCTTAAATGATCCAATTCATGGCATTCTAGTATAAAATTTGAATTCATCACCAATTTTATTTTTACAGAGAGAGCAAAACCTATCTTCCCCCCTATTGAGGTTATACCATTGGCCAGTTTCAGTTGGGAGTTGGTGGTTGGTGGTTCTGATTTTAGTAAGCCAGAAGCGTAAATTATGAGGTAAATACAATAAGTAGTCTTCTACTGAGAGGATATCTTTATACAGATTATAATAGTGTCCTTTTGAGGAATTTACTTTACTACTCCTCCAGCTTTGTAAAAATTGATCTATAAGGACAGTTTTGACGTTAGCCTTTATCCATTGTACACTGGGAAATTCCTGAGACGGCCAAATGTGATTGAGACCTGTACTTTGTAAAATACGTTGGATTTCATTAACAAGTGGGAACTTAAACTCTGGGTGGTCAATTTGGAGTTTGAACATAAGTTTGTACATTATACCTGACAATTTGGTTTCTGATAGAACTAATTTGCACCAATATGATACCATTCTTAACTTAACATGGATGTTTAATGGGTATCTCCCTAATTCCCCGTACACCATGAAATCAGGGGTAGTTTGCGTAACTTTCAAAATATATTTACAATATCTTAAGTGAACACGTTCCAGTATAACAGTATTTTTGAAGCCCCAAACTTTGAATCAATACAACAATATAGGTTGAACAAGATAGTCAAACAGTTTAAGTTGACAGTCAATTGGTACTTCTAATACTCGTATTTTTCTAAAAATAGCAAACATTGCTCTGGAAGATTGGTCAGATAACCGTTTAATGGCTTTACAAAATCAACCGTTGCTTGAAAATAAAATGCCCAGAAAGACACATTGTTTTTCAATAAGGAGAATCGTATCTTGAAGTCTAAATGTACAGGCAATTTTAAAAGATCGTTTAGCAAAAGCTACAATTTTTGTTTTATTAGTGTTTACCTTGTGTTTCCAGTGATTACAATAATTTTCAAATACCTTTAAACATAGTTTCAGGTCGGAAGGTGTCTCAGACATTAGGACTGTATCATCCGCGTAAAGAATTACCAATAGCTTGATAAAACTTCCAATTTCTTTAAGAACATAATCATTTACTTTTTCAAGACCAATAACGTCGTAATCTGACAAAAAAGACTCAAGGTCATTTAGATAAAGGGCAAAGAGAAATGGCGATAAGTTTTCGCCTTGCCTGACTCCTATGTTACAAGGAAAGAATTCAGTGACACTACCAATATGAGAAACACATGACTTTATGTGTTTGTACATGTTATTGATAACATTAAAGCATTTACAAGTGATATTACTTTGAATCATTTTGTACCATAGGCCACAACACCAAACCATATCGAAGGCCTTACTGAAATCAAGAAAAACACAATACAGCCTCTTATTATGGTTTAAGTATACATCTATGAGTGCTTTTAAAATATATATATTATCAGTAGTTGAGTAGTTTTTCCTGAACTCGAGTTCAAATTGCTGCCATTTGTCTGCGATGTCTCCTTTGAAGGATAATGGTGCAGCTTTGTTAAATGCCTCAGCAATCCCACTTCTGACACCATGTAAGTTGCTGTGTCAACTTAAAGTGAATCAACAAGAAGAGTGAACTTCTATTAAACCTTGTGTACTTGGGTCCATGTGTTTTCATATAAGAGCTCAGGCTTCCGGTGGTTGGCCATGTTCTGTGCAAGGGAGGTAACCCCAGCTATAGATGTATGGGGCTTACTGCTAGTTAAGATATAAATCTACAGCCGTGAGTCGATTTGCTCGCTCACGCAACTGAGCGTGACAAGAGAGTGGTCTACCGTCTGCAAGGACAGCTGAATAAACTTGGAGGCAATATTTGTTTTACGCATTTTTGAACACTGAATGGTTACCCGTGATCTATGAAGATTTCGACTAAGGGTGCATGTGAATATACAAAATAGGATGTCGTTATTTGGAAATACTTGACCAATGTGTTTTTTGAACTGAAACATCACAGCAGTCTATGTGACACTGCCAAAGATTAATACAAGAGGTAAGTGTAGATGAAAAGTCTAATGGAGGTATGACTTCCTCCTGAAAATAATAAAGTTAGTGTCTCTGAAATTATAACACTTTGTTAACTGAATTAAATAATACTGTTGACTTCCACTGGTCATTATGAAATGTCTTTAGATCTTGCATAAAGGCATTTATCACTCAATACAGCTCAGTGTCAATCAAGGTATTTGTGATTTGGCTTCACGATTCTGCACTCCTTGTAACTGTCATGTTAGGTTGTGTGTTGTTTTCTGGCACCACCATAGGTCTTGTGTCTTCAATTCTCTTTGTTGTCATTTCTTGTCTCATGTTAGTCTTTGTAATTTGTGTTTCAGTGTCTTTAGTGTTGAGTGATGTTCCTCTGGTGGGTACATCAGTTTCACTGGTGTTTTCTCATGTGTGAATGAGAGTTGTCTTCTATTCCTTCTTAGGTCTTTACCTTCCGAAGATATGATGTAGGATCTGGATGACTGATCCACTTGTCTTACTAGTCCTAGTCTATCAAATCCATTATTTGTTAGAATTCAGAACACTTGATGGTTTTCGAATAACTGGTGAAAGTAGCTTGGACGATATAGGAGTTTCAGTTTTGGTTCTGCATGACATGAGTCATTGGGCAGGCGATCCCAGGACTTGATCTCGGGGTGTATTTCTCTGGTTGAGTATGGCAAGGTATGGGTCACTGCCTTCCCTACTTAATTTTTCCAAAATTCTTTTGGCAGACTGTACTGCCTTTTCAGCAAGTCCATTGCTCTGTGGATAACCTGGACTGCTCGTTTTGTGTGTGAATCCCCAGGTTTAAAGGGGCACTGATCTAACGCAATTCCCCGGGACTGGTTGTTGCCTTTGTTATTGTTTTTTCCCAGTGAGTACCCGGATGTATAGCAGAAATCTAGACTGGTTCGCGACCTCTCCTGCGCCATTCGTAAGCGCATTAGTCACTTTTATGGGTAGTAATAAGGGCATACGGTCACATTGATCAACAAAATGAAATACAGTTGTCGAGATAATAAGGAAATGTAGGTATCTTTGTGGGTAGCATCGGTAATGGTGACGAAGTTTTGATAAGTCACTTGCTTGGTAATTTTCTCGATTTTCGTTTACACTATTTTGACTTGAACACAAAGTAAATATTTCACCTGAGCATTGCTTTTTTATATAGTTTATATATTTTTTTACTGTCAAATGTGTAACAAATTTATTAAACGTCTAAATATTCAGTTATTTTACAAAGTGACTGAAAAACATTTCCATCTGTATTATTATGATAACGTATCCAAACATTTTGATGTTTAATGTCATCACCAAGAGACTGAAAATGTTACGTTGAAAATTCATTTCTATGTTGTTTGGCTTCTAATCCTACATGATAATCTGTTGTGATGTTTGTAGGCCCTTTTGATCGTCTTAATTAATCTGGACAGATTTTTTAGTCAAAATGACTGAAATATTTACACATTTTATAAATTGCCTGAGTGAATCACACTTTACAAATTGACAGTAATATATACACGCTTACAAAGGAAAAGACCTGTGAAAACAACCTCTATCGCGCATTGAAGAATTTCCCAACCAAGACGTAGAGAAACAAGAATGAATCGGTTCAAATGAAGGAAAACAAAATGCATATATCATAATTACAACCTACCAAATTTATGTGTATAAATTTTAGGCAGCTTCCTTGTTCGAGGAATGTATCCGTGAATATCCACACAAAGGAACAATATCCCACTCGTCTGCAGCTGTACAAAGATACTTATTCGATGTCACGTGTCTCAGTAACAATCAAATATTTTAAAAGATATATATCGTTTCGGGATATTATAACCTGTGTTCGTTTCTCAACTGATCACTTGGATTGTTTCAGGTGTTTTACATAGGTGCCAAGTCTCAATGGTCGGCTGAGAAAGCCCACGTGACAACTATTTTCATAACGTCCACGGTTCCTAAAAAATCCATTGAGTGATAGATAACAATGATCAATCAATCAACGTATTATCAGTTAACCCTTTGAACAAAGTATGTTGTTTTTACATCGGCACTTCACGCCATGATATGAGTGTATTCCCTTTGTTTTAGTAAACCTAGACATATAAACACTCACTCTTGACATATCCACTGTGCAAGATAACAGTGATTAATCAATCAACGTATTTTCTGTTAATACTTTGATGACTAGGAACGATCCGTTGATTTACAACAACAACAAAATCAACTGATCATTCATCTCTTGCTGGGCTGCCACGTGCATATTACATAATACTCATTTCACCTCACTTCAAACCTGGATTTAGATTGAATAATTACCCCAGACACAATAAATGCCAAATGGGAACCTTTGTCAGGTAATCTAAGTGGTGCTACCACTAATTGTACCTGTAATAAATTCATTAACTGAGCATCAAGTGAATGACGACAAATACACAAGTGTAGGGTTATACGAGAAAACGTGGATGACAACAAGGGAGTAGTAATCGTATTATCGACGCAAGCCGAAATCCGAAAATGCTTTCACTGCATGGATACTTTTTTTAGTATTAAACTATAACCATCTTGGGTATTTCCAAATGACGACATCCGATGAGCTCCGCTGTTCTTTTTGTCTGTTTGTTTAGGCTGAATAAATTAATTAACATGCGCCCTTTGTCGAAATCTTTATAGATCACAGTTAACCAATCAGTGTTTATGCAAACATGCGTAAAACAAATATTGCCTCCAGCCTCCAAGTTAATTTAGCCGTCCTTGCAGACGGTAGCCCAGTCTCTGGTCACGCTCAGTTGCGTTGCGTATCATCCGGGTACTCACGGGGGAAAAAAAATTAACAAAGGCAACAACCAGTCCGGGGAATTGCGTTAGATCAGTGCCCCTTTAAGCAAATATTGCAAACTCCCGTGATGAGAACTAGGGTCCATTGTCAGTTAGAAGAGTGTCCGGCACACCATACCTAGCAAAGTGCCCTTTCAGCTTTCTTATTACAGCTGCAGAGGAAGTTATGGTCAGAGTGTTCATGTCTATGTCATGTCAACCGGAGTATGAATCGACGAGCACAAGTTATTCGGTTGAGTTCCAAGTGAATAGATCTGTGGCAAGTATTTGCCAAGGCCTGGTAGGAATCTCATGACATTTGAGAGGCTCCTTCTGCTGTTGA